TTTGCCAAATCAAGTCATAGGGACTGTTCAGATTCAAAGAGTAGGAAAAGAGACAACACTTTGTGATCAGAGGAACTTCCAAACTACATTACAAAAGATTTTTTATTCAATTTACAAATAAAGTGAAGGGCAGACAATTAGGACCATTTTTATAAGCAATCTAACACGCCTAAACAGCTTAACTCATACCAGTGTAATATGCTATTATATGAAAGACAAATAAGAATTTATTAGATGATTGGTGCACATTTTAGAATGTATTAGGAGCTACAAATTTTACCAAAAGATATATGGAAATGATCTTTCTAATGCAGATGAAAAATTTTACCCCTGGAATAAAATGGAAGCATTTTATTTCTGAAAGAGTTGAATGTGAACAAGTCTGAACAGAGGTGCCAATCTTTTAGAGGTCTCAGAGGTGTATAATCACAATCATTTTTTTCTGTTCTTTAACCTGGATTACATCCTGACAGTTACATAATAAGGGATTCTAAATCAACCATATCCTATAATATGAAGGAAACATACTGCTTAAAAACCTGTATAAAGAGGTTGGGGTCTAGCTCAGTGGTAGAGCATGTGCTTAGCATGTTCCAGGTCCTGGTTTCAATCTTTAGTACTAACAAAAATCAAACACCAAAACAAAACAAAAAGCATTCAGTAGCTTTTGGAGATTCCCAAATTTGCAATTTAGTCACAGAGAACAATGGAAAAAGGAAAATAATCTGCTTTGGTATGGATTATTATTTTCCCAGCATATGCAGTATTTGTTCACTATAAATAATAGATAAAACATGAAAATTCATTCATTCTCATAATGTTATATATTTTAGAACAGAAGGGAAAACAGTAACTCAATTACTTTAAGCATTTTTAATTCAGTGTGTCTTTGAAATAGGACAAGACTTTCATTGTGTAATTGAAACCACTTTATCTCACCACTTGCTTTTAATGACAGCAGTAAAATATTGTGTGAGATCATAAATCTTTCTTGAGGGTGTTATGGACTAACCTCAAGCTTTCATAAAGAGCATAATCTTGTTCTGTTTGGGGCAAATAAACACAACTTAATAGAAAAAGTAGATAAGGAGCCCACTAACAGTCTCTTTATGCGAAATAATAATATGTAACATTTTAAAAGGCCAATGTGAAAACAAATATGCCATTCTGGCAGAATGTCTGTGATATTCTAAAAAAATAAACCCACAGAATTTGGAGTTAGGAGACCTCAATTCTTATCCTGATATCATCACTGAACTTACATAGGGATTTAAGCAAATCAGATCATGTTTTTAAGCTAGAAGTTAAATCAGTCTCTATAGTGGAGAATGAAATCCCAGACCGATCCTTTCACTAGATAGTAGTGAAGCTCAAATAGTCAATTGTGAATCTATCATGCACCTATGTGATTTCAGGTAGATTTTTCAGGCAAATTCTTCTAAATTTAAAAAAAGGAGCTAAAATGTCAATTCAATTAAAAGCAAGTCAAGCTTAACTTTTAAGTAACAAGAATTTTACAAATTTTAAAATTATCTGTCTTTTTTAAAAAAGATAATGTTATTGTATTTTTTGTACATTTATTTTATTTTTATTTACTTTTATATGGTGCTGAGGGTTGAACCCAGGGCCTAACCCATGCTAGGAAAGTGCTCTGCCACTGAGCTACAACCAAAGCCCAAAGTTATCCATCTTTATTTGTAATTTCTGTAATAAAGGTTAAGAAGAACTGTGCATTGCATTGCAAAATTATGCTTTCTTTAAATGTCATTTTTGAGAAAAAAATATATAGTTCTTTTTTTCATATCCATTTTATTTTTAAGTTTATATTGCTTTTTTGGTATGGGGGGAATGCCAGGGATTGAACCCAGAGGCACTTAACCCATTGAGCAACATCCTCAGTCCATTTTTATTTTTTATTTTGAGACAGTGTCTCATTAAGTTGCTTAGAACCTTGCTGAGTGGCTGAGGCTGGCTTTGATCTTGCAGTCCTCCTGCCTCAGCCTCCTGAGCCACTGGAATTATAGGTGTATGCCACAGTGATGGGCATATTTATACCACTTTATGGAGTAAGTATGATAATCCAATACATGTATGCAACATGTAGTGATTAAACTAGTGTAATAAACACTTTCAATTCTTTTTTCCATTCAATGGATTGATGGGCCATTGCTTTTTTGGAACTTGTCTCTCCTGTCTGGAGCTGCCTAATCATAATTCAGTCATGATTTTTTTTTTTCTCTTCTAGCAACTTGTTTCCCAGAAGAGGAAAAGAAAAGTTTTCCTTTTTCTTTATTCTGCATTTTCTATATTATACCCCAAACAAATGTTTAACAAGACATTTCCACATTGTTACCAGCTCTAAAATCTCATAATCTCCCTGAAAATGAACTCTTCTCTAAATTATTGTTACCATTTTCAAAAAGATATAATTTATTTTTAATGTTCTTAATTTTTTAATTTGTTTTTTTTAGAAGTTTGAGTTTATTGAAGGAATGCAAAAAGGGGGCACATTCTCTTTTAATTTATTTCTATTTGTTCTTTTTAGATATACATGGCAATAGAGATAATCTAAAGGCCAGTACTTAAAACCTTAGTGTCATCTTTGTTTCCTCCTTTGCCACAGGCCTCACGAAGTCCTATTGCTCTTTCCAAATTATCTTTCTTGTCTCACCAACATTAAGTGACATTTATCTTTCAAAAACACTGTAAAGATCTGGGGCTGTGGCTCAGTGATAGAGTGTGCTTGCCTTCCACAGGTGAGGCACTGGGTTCTATCCTCAGCACCACATAAAAATAATGAAGATATTGTATCTATTCACAACTGAAAAAAAATTTAAAAAAACAAAACAAAACACTGTGAGACCTACTTAGTTCTCCACGTCTCAAAAATGTCCTTGCCTCTGAAAGAGTTAGCACGTATCAACTACAGAATAATGCCTCCATTACTCCATGTCAGAGATTGCTAATGGATTATGAAGTCCTTTCTTACTGTACTTAGTATAACTTGAGTCTTTTTTCAACCTGGTAAAGACATAGCCTTCCCTAGCAATTGGCATTGGCATGAGAAATAATGTCTAGTTGTCATACTGATTCTGCATGAGAAAGTTCAATATCCTTAGGCCTAAATTGAGGATTCCCTATAATTAGGTTCTAACCTAGATATATATATATATTTTAAATTTTTTAGTTTTATTGTTTAGTTGTTAGTAGGCCTTTTTTTTTTTTTTTGATTTCTATGCGGTACTGAGTCGAACCCAGTGCCTCACACATGCCAGGCAAGTGCACTATCACCCAGCCCCAGCCCCCTAACCTATATTTTTAATATTAACTTCACTACTTCTTAGTAAAGGGAGTCTATTCCAATGAAATTCATCAATTTAATGTTTATTCTTATTCTATGCTTACTCACTTTTCTATACTCCCTCATCATGTTGTAAAAACTGGACCATCTCTGTTCTATTTTTTTAAAATTTTTTTTGAAGTTGTAGATGGACACAATGCCTTTATTTTATTGTTTATTTTTGTGTGGTGATGAGAATTGAACCCAGTGCCTCACATGTGCTAGGCAAGCACTCTGCCACTGAGCTACATCCCCAGCCCTCTGTCCTATTTCTTATGTGAAACTCTTTTGGGGATTTCTTCTTAATTTCATTTTTATAGTCCTTACTACCAGGAACATTGTATGCATATGCTGCTTTGATCTCTCAAATTTTTATATGCACATTTCATTTTCCTAATTAGTAAGTAAGGTCATTGAAACAGGACTGGAGGCTTGTCTTAGTCACTGTAGGCTAACTGGTATAACAACTCCAAATTCTCTGAGGCTAAACTCAATAAATGTTCATTTCTTGTTCATGTCACAGTCCAACAAAGTAAGGAAGGGATAGGAGGTTTTTTTTTAAAATTTATTTAGTTGTAGATGAATATCTTTATTTATTTTTATGTGGTGCTGAGGATCAAACCCAGTGCCTTCCACATGTGAGGCAAGCACTTTACCACTGAGCTAGAGCCCCATCCCCAAGATAGGAGGTATTTATCAAGTTGTTTTTAATATACATTTAATGATTTGGAAGGTATGTTTTAATTATACTGTTGGTTGACATTAAGGAATTGTTTTAGTTTGCAAAATTTACATTAAAATGCAAAATACATGTATTTTTACTTTAAGATTTTTAAACATTAAGTATTAAAATTAGCTTGAAAAAGAAGATTCTTTTCCATCACCATTCCTAATCCTCAGTGTACCCATTAACAGTTTGATTTGTATGTGTTTTAGTCAAATTTTTCACTGCCATGTCCAAAAGACCTGACAATATTTAGAGGAGGAAAAGTTTATTTTGGGACTCATGGTTTCAAATGTCTTAGTCCATAGACTGCCAACTCCATTCTTTGGAACCCAAGGTGAGGCAGAATATCATGGTGGAAGATTGTGGCAGATGAAAGCAGTTCAGGACATCACATGAGGAAACAGAGAGAGACTCTACTCACCAGGGACAAAATCTATACCCCAAAGGCATGCTCCCAATGATTTACCTCCTCCAACCACAACCTACCTGCTTTTAGTTACCCATCAGTTAATCCCTATCAGAGAATTAATTCACTGATTGGATTAAGGTTCTCCTAATGTGATCATTTCATCTCTAAACCTCCTGCATGTCTTACACATGAGTTTTGGGGAGACATCTCATATTTACACTATAAAAGAATGTCTTTAGAAGTTTTCAGTATTTAAACAAATATACAGACATTTGTATATACAGAAGAAGGATTTGTTTCAATAGGTTTGTAATGTATATATTTTTCTTTAACAGGCTAACCTACATATATTGTTGGAATTTTTATACATTCCTCAAAAATACTGCAAAGTATTCTATCATGTAGATATTGTAATTGATTTAATCTGTATCCTATTAATAATAATTTAGATCAAAGCATTGACTTTTAAAATTAATGTTATTAGGACAATTATCTACCAATTTGGAAAGTATAAAGTTAAATCTTTTTTTATGGAATGCTTCATGAATTTCTGTGTCATCCTTGTGCAGAGGCCATGCTAATCTTCTCTGTATCACTCCAATTTTAGTATATACGCTGCTGAAGAAAGCATGAAGTTAAGTTTTTTTTTAAAAAAATTTTTTTCAGTTGTATCTGGTCACAATGTCTTTATTATTTTTTATTTATTTTTATGTGGTGCTGAGAATTGAACTCAGGGCCTCACGTGTATGAGGCAAATGCTCTACCACTGAGCTACAACCCCCGCCTCACAAAGTTAAGTCTTTATAACAATAAATTCCAGATAATTTGAAGATTTAAAAAGTAAAGGTACTTATAGATAACTTGAGGGAATATTTCCATTAATTTATGGAAAGGAAAATTTGCAAGAATTTAGACACCAAAGTTTAAAGAATAAACTGACTTGATTTCATGTAAATTAAAATATTCTGAATTATAAAACCACTATAAATTATATAAAAGGGTTTATAATCTGGGAGTGGACTCAGCATTTTGTGTGATAGACAATTTAAGGATCATCTAGCAGAAGTGCACATAAGTGTGGTATGGCAGTTTTAGCATATAATGCTCTTGAATGTACATAACATCTCATGTTGGTAACTCATATAACCTGGGCTGGCTTGTTCCATCATGACCAACTCCAGACACAAACTATTTGCACATATGTCACAGTTTGTTGAGCCCCCAAAGACCAATATAACACACCCAACTGTCCCCTCATTTTCAAGTTTAACAGTTTAAAATATACCTGCAAAATTGGGGAAGGCAAACTTCCATTGAGTTGTTTTTAGTTGTTAATACTTGAGTTTGGCTTGATTACTGAGAGTGGCTAGTGAAGATTTTGATTTTAAGAAAATGAGACATAAAATGAGTAAGTTCTGAAGAGAGACTTCAGAAAATAAATGATCAGAGTTTCATCCCAGAGAAAGTCAAGTTGAATGGGGCATTAGGTTGAAGAATCTTGAGGAATGTCATAAGATATGTTTCTTCAAAGTAGCTAAAATGCTGAAATAAGCACTAAATTCCTAAACAAAATTCACTTGTTCCATAGTTATTTCTGGAGGGGGTATTGCATTCCTTGACAAAAGTACAGTTGCATTATTCCAAGAAACAGTTTAAATAAAGTCAGATTCTGATTTTCTCGAGTATAAAATAAAATGTTTGAAAAAAATTTTAGAAATTGCAAAGTGATAGTGCTTCATTTTATAAATTATGTAATGTAACATCAATGCTATGTATTAAAAAGTGCTGTGTACTTTAAATGCCTGAATGCTTACAAGTTCAGGACCAAATTAATCCCTTTAAGGTATTTGGATGTATAAATAGATTTAGATATAGATATAGATAGATGTATAAAGAAATAATCTTTTAAATATTTGTTCCAAGAATTTATTCCAAGCATGATTACTGTCTTGGAATTATCTGTAACTAATTATGCTACTTAACAGTTTGAATGTCCCATTGGTGTGAAATCATTGGAACTGTAATAGCATGGCACACATCAGAATGCCCTGATTTATTATCTGTCACTGATAAGTTTAGATTCACACCATCTGGGATGATTAGTGATTATTTACTATCCCAGGAGGAAGCTGGTGAGGATGTCCTTTGTGTGGAAATAGATTACACTGGAGATTCACAGGGCTGGTTCCCTGACTACCTCTATGGATATGAGTATATTTCCCTCACAGCTTGACAGAACTTTATTTAGAAAGGTGTAAGCAAACATTCTTACTTTTGCCTTAGGGAAGAATCTTTTTTGGTCTCAGCAATTTACATGCTTGGTTTTCGACTTGACAGAGCAGTGATTTATAACTCCTTCTTTTTCCACTGGCTAATTTCATGCTAGACTTGAGGCAGGTGGAATGAACTTTCACTTTAGTTTTAGGAGAATGGGCATATGGTATGGATTCCAAGTTTTTAACAGGTTTTAGTGGCATTGGATTGCATTAAAAGAAAACCACCTGTACAGTTTAGTATTTGGGAATTCATCTATATCATAGAGGTGGCAGGTGTCCAACATTTGTCTTTAAAGCATGTATTTTGTGGTTATATTTTAAATGGAAATAAGGGTTCTTTTTACAGTCCATAGCATCTGTTACAAGACACTTTCTTCTAAAACTTATTTTTCCAAAGAACATAATTTGATTTGTCTCATGATTCTGAAAACACTTGGTTTTGAGTATCTATATTAGTGCTAATAGTTTGTGTAAGAGTTAGGAATTTTGATGGAAATTAAAATGTTAGATGGTCAGCCAACTTTCCAAATCTTTCTAACCACTCTTCCCACTTTTTAAAGAGCAGGTGCCATTTTCTTCCTAAATTCTTGTAATTGTATCTTATGTACTCATAATGTTCTACTTGATACCAAATATCATTCTCTTTCTAAAGTTGATAAGTAGAGTCTCAAGATCCTTCTTAAATCATATTTTATTTATTGTTCACATAAAAAAACTGATAGTTGTGGATGGACTGAATGTCTTTGTTTATTTTTATGTGGTGCTAAGGACTGAACCCAGTGTCTCAGGATACTAAGCAAGCACTCTGCCCCTGAACTATAGCCCCAGCCCCTATTTACTGTTCCTTAGAGTAGTAATTGGCTCAGATCCTAGAGGATGGGTAATTTTATAATTTTATCTTTAAAGTTCTTGCTTTGAAATACCTTTAGCTTTTAAAATCCAACTAAGTCAGCAGATCTTTTACATCCAGCTTCCAAACTCTCTTTGTAAAAATTAATTTGATTCATTTATGCTGATATTTTCATCAAAGTCATTTTGATGTTGGTAGGGAACAAAGGATTCACCTGTACTATAGCAATTAATGTTGTGTTTCTCTGAGTATAAATCTTTATCTATATGTTAAAAAGGTAAATTTTAAAGAACTTTGATATTTTCTTCCTTGAATATTTTGCTTATTACTGAAATTATGAGATGTGAAAGCTTTGCAGACACTTGCTTGGGTTTTAATGCATTTGCTTTTGTTATGGAAACCCTAAGTTTTATCTTGCAATTTTATCAGTCATCCTCATCCACTATAGGAATTATTTCCATGGTTGAGTCAATGTGTCTATTTTAGCATTCCTGAAGAGTATTGTAAACAGTGGATAAAGGCTGAAAGCAAACCTGAGAAATCTTTATAACCCAAGAGTTGGTGATTCTCGATTCCTTTTATTGTGAACCATTGATTCAGAGCAATATGGCCTTGTTATTGGCCTAAAGGGGGCATTGATAATCTCACATATACACATCCTATTTGTTGCTGAGTCCCTGTATTTTAATGGTACAGAGGATATATTTGTGAATGTCCCTGTGAGTTCACTGTTCCGTTAAACTTTGAAAACACCAACATCTGTCTTAGGAGCATTATGTTCCCTCATCTTCTATCTATAGAAAGAAACCAGGTAAATACAATGGGTAGCAACAGATTGCAATAAATACTTATTGGATCAGGTGGCAAGTTGGGTCACCAGAACCTTAACGTAAACTCACACAGGAAATGTTACCCAGATAGTTTACTGCAGGGGTGGAAACTATGTTGATAGAAGGCATTTCCTTCAGAAGGCTCCAAATATAGGTATTATCCCATCTAGAAGTTTTGGGAGTTTGTGATGTTTTAATAGCAAGCATTTATATAAAGTTTCAAAAAACTATCCATTTATATAAATCATAAATATATACTGAGAAATTGCTGTAGTCCTTTCCCAAATAGTTCATAGTGACTGGAGAGTGCCATTTACTCAGTAACACTGTCTTATAAACAGTTAGTGTACGTGTGGACCAAGATTCAGTCCTGTATATTTAAAAATTTTTTTTTAGTTGTAAATTGACACAATAGCTTTATTTTATTTATTATTTATGTGGTGCTGAGGCTCAAATCCAGTACCTCACACATGCTAGTCAAATGCTCTACCATTGAGCAGCAATCCCAGCCCCAGTCCTGCATACTTGTTACACTAAAAGTAACTTATACTGTATGATTTGACTTCAAAATATTATTCACTCAATCATTAAAGTGTTTTTTACTATAAAAATAAAGATTCACATATATGATAGTGTAAACAGACAGGGAAGACATTGTGAAATGTAGCTGTATTAAGGTTGCACCCATTAACACTATATCTATTCCTTATGAAGGGATTAATAGATAGCCTTGTGGGCAAAAACAACTTTAAAATGGTTATTTTCTCCAGTTATGGCATTAGCAATATTAGGTAAATACAAAGATATTAGAACAGAATAGCATATGCAATTTTACTTTTCTTTTTGGAACAATTTTAAAGTTCACTTTTGTTTTATTAAGATCCTGAAAGAATAAGAGCCAAGTTGGGCAAGTAGGCTGTCAAACTTGATTGGAGAGACACCTTTATTAGAATCACATTAGAAAGTATTAATTATGATCCAGCCCATTCACATTATAGATTCTAAGAATGAAAGCACTTTATATACTCAATAATTAATTTTCTAAAATGGATTATTTTTCTTGGATGAATAATTATGTATTCAAATTATTACCGAATGAAGGTGACATTTTTAGAGAACACTTTTTCTAGTTTAATAGATCATCTTAATGGTGAAAAAATACAATACAGGGGAAGGAAATTTAGGAGAGAAATGAATATTGCAACCTAGGTTTTGTTAGGTTCATAGCAATGCCTTGGACAGTCACATGTCTTTTCTCTGTATAGTTTTTACTTATATAAAGTGACAGATGGTGTAGATGCCTTTGATTTTAAAAAAATATCTTCTTAGGGAATAGTGTTTGTGGGATCCACACAATACAACATTTGTTTTTGGCTCCATATCATTCTGGCTGAATTGGCAGCAGGACACATAAAATATGATTCCACATGACCTATACAAGGAAGAAAATGTACTAGTGCACACATGGAGATATGCAGCAGTGAAGTGGGCTTCAGAGACATATCATTCAGTGATTTTAGGCTTCATTTCCCTGTGATTCTCATTCCTTTACTTCCTTTTGAGTATTGACTTCTTCCTTTGGTTGAATCTCACATTCATGCATGACAGCCTCCAAAATAAAGAGAAGGAAGAGTTCCTCTGAAAGCTGTCCTAGAAAAATAAAGAGTGATTATCC